GACTACATGGGCGGGAGTGTTCTGGCTGGTATATACATGGTAAAAAGTCATCAGCCACTCATTTTATGATTTGTGTACTACATAAATCTAACACCTTTATCAAAACAGAATGCAAGTAAAGGCACAACTGTTTTCTGAAAGGCTAGGGGAGAGTAATCTTTTGCAAGAAAAATGACACACCCTGATTGTCATTTCTAAGGTCCAATAAGAATTTTATGGTCTAATAAGAATTTTATCATAAACGATTTCTTACAGATGTCCTAAAGATGGGGCATCATCTGCTGGAGAGTGATAACTTAATTTGAAATGCTGAATTTTTATTAATAGTCAGAAAAAGATGGTTGACCACCAGCATGCTATTTGGAAGAATCAAATAAGTTGAAAATTTCTGCAACAGAAATTTCTATTTAGTCTTGGTTTTGACATTCCCACTTGTATCTAGTGGAGCACACATATTATTAAAGAATTCCCAGAAAACAATCAAATGCACTACAGTTTGCATGTGCACACATTTACACACACACACACACACACACACACACACACTCATTCGTGTGCACTGGAGGAGCTGGAGGTGTTGCCACACTCTAAATATTGGGAATTGCTTCCTACTTTTACATCCAGCATAACCTGCCTTTAAATCCTTAGGATTTTGACTTATACATAGGAAAAATGAATCCTGCAGTTATAACTATATTAGAATAAAAGTTATAACCCACACTTTAAGCAAGTTGGAACTAAATAACAGACTATGATGGTTTAACAGAAAGATGTATGAACCAAGTAACCGACAAACAACAGAGAAAACTGGCTTCCCGAGTTCATCGAGGCCATGAAGTCGGGCTGCGCTCCCATGTGGAAATCACCTACCGGGCTTCGGAAAGATCTGAGACAAATTGTGTGTCAACCCTTCCCTTTTCCTGAAACACTGTACACAGCCTTAAACATTAATTCTCATCTTACAGTTGAAAGGTCACATGCTTCTGGTACAGCCTGTGGGCACGGCCGCAGTTCATTTGATGTACCATATGACTTTTAAAAAATCATCTTCTTGTCCCCTCTCTTTAAATGTCTACTTTCAGACTTCATAGCTTGGATGCCTTTTTATTTTCAATAACCTCAAACCCACGCCATCCAAACTCCAGGGTCCATCGATCTCTCCAGGTGGAGGTTCCTGAGATTTCTAGACAGAGCCTCTCCCGAGGCCCAGACCTCCGTGTTCACGTCCTGAAGCTGCACGCGCGGTCTCTCCGCACCCAGCTTTACAGTCATCCCCCGGCCTCAGCAACATAACCGCAAAGCCTGCGCTGATGCAATGACCAGATCCTCCTTTCCCTCCTCCAGGAAGGCTTTCCTTCCTTTTCCTTCTACCGGTGCTGTTCCCATCCCAGCGCCGGCCCTCGCCTCCTTCCCCGAGTCTACCCACCCCCACGGTCTCCGTGCACCCATCTGCCTCCCGGATCAGAGTCACTGGTAAAGCGCAGCTCTGACCACGCCCTTGCTCACAAACCTCTTCGGTTCCCCATTTCTCACAGAACAAAACCCTAACTCAGTACCTAAAGCCATCTACAAAGAGACCGTAATCTAATTTTGCAGATTTACCCTCCAAACCATGCCCAACTTCCGTACTTCACATTCGGTCAAACTTTCTGCGTGCTCAGTTGCTTAGTCATGTCTGACTCTGCGACCCCATGGACTGCAGACTGCCAGGCTCCAAATCCCTCTTGCCGGGATTTCCCAGGCAAGAATACTGGAGTTGTTGCCCTTTCCTTCTCCAGGGAATCATCCTGACCCAGGGATCGAACCTGAGTATCCTGCATTGGCAGGCGGATTCTTGATCACTGAGTCACCTGGGAAACCCAACACCTCCTGCATCTCCTCCCAAACTCAAACTATTATCCTCTCTTTGAAAAATAGTTCCTTCAGTTTGAATGCTCCCCTCTGCCAAGTTTATGTCCAGGTCAGTTTCAAAGAGGAGATCAAATGGTTTTGTGATAAGATACCAGACTTTGGCTTCATGCAAGCTGGATTCAAATTCCAGGGCCACGACTTTCTCATCATCAACTGTTAGGCAAATTGCTTAATGTTTCTGGTAGCCTCACCTTCCTCTCCTGTATGCAGAGAGGATGATGAGACAGGATCTATATTGAAGGACTGTGGAGAGGACAAATTGAGTTTTAAAATGAGAAAGCACTTAACACAGCTCTCAATATGCATCCATAGAAGCTATCATTCCCATTGATCCCCATTGATCTTATCATCATCATTATTATTGACTTCAAGAAGTTGTTCCTGTGTCATCAACTGAAATGAAAACCTCCCTCTCCTTTGTCCTTCCACAGGACACTGGCCATGCCTCTAATTACATTTATCAAAGTATGATGAATCTGAGAGTTGCTAACAACTGCCTGCCTTATTTCACAGGAAGAAATTCCATAAACATTTATGAAGCACTAACAGCATCTTAATTATTAGTAGTGTATACTTAGGGCTTCATTTACTCCTCAGTTATTCCATCACTTCTGGATGTAAGAAGACGTTTCCTGGACACACAGAAAGAGGTTGGGCTTTCTTTTTCAGGAGACATGGCCATTAGCGTGCTTCCAAGTCACAGAGATGAATCCAGGTAATCAGAGTGGTTAAAGAAGCACTAAGGAAGACGCGCCGATCACAGGACTCATTTGCCTGACTGAAGCCCCCAAGAGCCAAGGCCCGGAGGAGCCAACAGTGCCGAACAGGTTCTGGCTTTGCTGCCCAAGTGCAGGTCAAGGGCTTAAGTAATTGCTATCCTTGGGCAGCCAGTCAAAATGCAGAGTTGAAACTATACAACGGCAAGCGCTCCTACAGAGGAGAAATTATCAACTATTGTTAGAGAAAATAATACGTGACTATTGACATTTCTTTTCCTTTTTTTTTTTTTATTGTTAGACCGGGGCTTTAAGAAAGCAGGGTAGTTAAGGTTGTCAGAATTTCACTTTATCCTCCTCTTGGAGGCTGTTAAAAATTCACTCATGCTGAAACTTGCCTTTTAGGCTCTCAGCCAGATTTCTGCTTGTCTCTACTCCGTGGTTCTCTAGTGGAATGCAAGTCGCAGCTCAGGGACCAGGGTTTGTTCAAGGTGTTTTCTACGCACGGCTTCCTTCCTAGATTCCCTTTTCCTGACTCGCTCTACTCTCTGCCAAAGGTGGGTTTTAACAACCAAAACAACCCCAAAGATACACTCAACAGAGAGAAGATTAAAGGCTTTTGGTGGTGTTTATACAAATAGCCACAGCAATAAGCGATACTCAACAAGTAGAAATCCATTCAGCAGCACTTACTAAAGGGGATCACCATCTTGGAGTGTTCATTAGAGATGCAGTTGAATCGGCACATGCTTTTGCGGCTCTCACTGAATGAAACGTAACCAGCGACAGTTCCACAACGTCTTTGTAGCTATGCCAGAGAGGCGACGAGCTAGAGAGGCTAGGAGGGATGAGCTAGAGATATCCCTGGGCTGCATTTCTCTACTAAACCCACTGATTTTCTTTAGGCTGTGAACTCTTGGCACTCAAAGCTCCCCAAGGACCCTCCACCCAACCATTTCCCACTGAAGACAAAATGCTAGGGGGAGGAGTGAGAACGGATCATTTCTTGGTCAGTTACTATGTACCAGGCAGAATGCCAGTCACTCTTATAATCATAAGATGCCACAGAGATACCAAGATGCATGAGACACTCTCCCTAGTCTCCAGTGGAAACCCATTTTAGGTGTATATGTTGTTGTTGTTCAGTTATTAAGTCATGTCCGACTTTTGTGACCCCGTAAGCTGTAGCCTGCCAGGCTCCTCTGTCCATGGGATTCTCCAGGCAAGAATACTAAAGTGGGTTGCCATTTCCTCCTCCAGGGGATCTTACCAACCCAGAGGTCAAACACGTGTCTTCTGCATCTCCTGAATTGGCAGGTGGATTCTTTACCAATGAGCCACTTGGGAAGCCCACTCATGCATATATGGCTTTAGAATATTCCCAGACTTGCTTTGCTTATTTTAAAGCAGTTGTCCAGTGAGACTTATCATGTTGATCAGCAGAGAGCTATTACACATACAAGAGCGCACTGACTCTGCTGGATACATCACGAGCTCCCTGATCGACATGTCGGGTCGTGTACAGGCTGTGCTCCCCATTACCGAAGTTCCAGAACCTGGGAAAGTGCTATCCTTAGCCTTTTATCATTATAAGCATTTCTGCAGTACTGTCCACTTGCAAACTGCTTAACAATCAACTCTACCCTTCTTGTCTTCCAAGAAATCAGAGACCTTGACATTTGATGAGTGAAGTCATTCAGTCGTGTCTGACTCTGCGACCCCATGGACTGTAGCCCACCAGGCTCCTCCGTCCATGGAATTTTCCAGGCAAGAACACTGGAGTGGGTTGCCATTTCTTTCCCCAGGGGATCTTCCCGACCCAGGGTTTGAACCCAGGTCTCCCGCGTTGCAGGCAGACACTTTACTGCCTGAATCACCCTGGAAGCCTGACGTTTGTTAGCTCTGTTTAATGGCCCCGAATCCCCGGGCCTAGAGTTGAAAGAAATCGCGGGGTACACAGCCAGCCAGGGCTTAAGACCCTCACAGCTGCTGTGTTTCCATTCAGCCTCTCGGCAGCCCAGCTGCTTCCCGAGCCTCTCCCTGAATATATATGTAATGTATACATGCATTATTTTTAAACGCTTGGAGTTAAGACAATCCCAGGAAGAATATTGGCCCCGATTCTCCATTTTTAGCGTGAAACGCTCAGAGCCTGGGCTCTGGGCCAGCCAGGACAACTCTGGCAGGTCTGAGAGCCCTGCAGACCACGTGCCTCAGCGGGCAGGGAGCCACGCTGAGCCCGTCCAGGGCTGGTCCCCAGCCTGTGTCCGTGGCAGGAGGAGGGCCGGGCGCCCCGCATGGGGCTCAGGTGTATGGAGCTCAGGTGTGTGCCAGCTGGGCGGGGCCCGCGAGACGCGGGGCGGGGCCCGCGAGATGCAGGGCGGGGCCCGTGAGACGTGGGGCGGGGCCCGAGAGACGCGGGGCGGGGCGCCGAGTGGGCAGAGGTGCTGGGCTCTGGAAGCTCCACTGCCGGCTGACGGAGGTCCTGTCCAGGCTGCGTGTCTGCTACATGCACCCCAGCCACGGGAAGATAAGACCCGGAGACTCTGGCTTTCCCATGGGGAGGGTTTAGCCACTGTCTTAGAAAACGGTGGCAAGCTGTGGTCAGAGGCATAAGGAATAACTGTAGGTCAGCTTTGACAAACTTGGGGAGCGAGGTCTCTCTCTCCTTGGAGTTGGGCTGTTTTTGGTCTACCGTTCTTGAATAAGGTCGTCAGCCCATAACTGTGACATAATTGTTTACGATCCAAAGTCATCATCTCATAATGGACAGTGATTTCTTATTATGTTTTTCTCTTTTTTTTTGAAAACTGAAGATTTTTGACTGTATTTAAAGGGACCCCTTGAATGCTGTATTATCCCTAATTAAGTCTAAAAGATGCAATTCCTACCCAAGTCCAGAGGACTCTGACAAACTCAGTGTTTGATATAGTCAACTTTTTTCACTTTTTGGTCTTTTTTAGTTGGCATATGATTGCTTTACAGTGTTGTATTGTCTCTGCCATATAACTGCCTGAATCAGCTATGGGCTTAGTTGCTTAGTCAAGTCCAGTTCTTTGTGACTGTAGCCTGCCTGGCTCCTCTGTCCATGGGAATTCTCCAGGTAAGAATACTGGAGTGGGTTACCATGCCCTCCTCCAGTGGATCTTCCCAACCCAGGGATCGAACCCAGGTCTCCCTCATTGCAGGCGGATTCTTTACCATCTGAGCCACCAGGGAAGCCCAAGAATACTGGAGTGGGTAGCCTATCCCTTTCTTCTCCAGGAGAACTTCCTGACCCAGGAATTGAACCGGGGTCCCCTGCATTGCAGGCAGATTCTTAACCAACTGAGCCACCAGGGAAGCCCCAAATCAGCTACAGGTACACATATATCCCCTCCCTCCTGAACCTCCCTCCCCCCTTTCAATCTCTCCCCTCTCGGGCATCACAGAGCACTGAGCCGAGCAACCTGTTATACGGCAGCTTCCCACCAGCCATCTATTTTACACAGGGTAGTGTCTGTATGCGGAGAAGGCAGTGGCACCCCACTCCAGGACTCTTGCCTGGAAAATCCCATGGACGGAGGAGCCTGGTGGGCTGCAGTCCATGGGGTCACTAAGAGTCGGCACGACTGAGCGACTTCACTTTCACGCATTGGAGAAGGACATGGCAGCCCACTCCAGTGTTCTTGCCTGGAGAATCCCAGGGACGGCGGAGCCTGGTGGGCTGCCGTCTATGGGGTTGCACAGAGTCGGACACGACTGAAGCGACTTAGCAGCAGCAGTGTATATATGGCAATACTACTCTCTCAATTCATCCCAGCCATTCCCCTTCCTCACTCACATCCACAAGTCCATCCTCGACTTCTGCAGCTCCATTCCTGCTCTGCAAATAGGCTCATCTGAACTATTTTTCTAGATTCCACATACATGCATCGATATATGATACCTGTTTTCCTCTTTCTGATTTACTTCACTCTGACAGACTCTAGGTTCATCCACATCAACACAAATGGCCCAATTTTGTTCCTTCTTATGGCTGAGTATTATCACATTGTGTGTGTGTGTGTGTGTGTGTGTGTGTGTGTGTACACCACATCTTCTGCAACTTCATGACTTTGTAGTAAATGTGCAATGATTGCTCAAAGACGTCTTTCATTTTTAAACTATGTTGTTGTTCAGTCACTGAATCATGTCAGACTCTTTGTGACCCCATGGATGGCAGCACGCCAGGCTTCCCTGTCCTTCACCATCTCCTGGAGTTTCTGCAAATTCATGTCCATTAAGTCAGTGATGCCAGCCAACCATCTCATTCTCTGTCATCCCCTTCTCCTTCCTTCAGTCTTTCCCAGCATCAGGGTCTTTTCCAATGAATTGGCTCTTCACATCAGGTGGCCAAAGTACTGGAGCTTCAGCTTCAGCATCAGTCCTTCCAATGAATATTCAGGATTGATCTCCTTTAGGATGGACTGACTGGATCTCCTTGCAGTCCAAGGGACTCTCATGAGTCTTCTCAACACCACAGTTCAAAAGCATCAATTCTTTGGCACTAATATTTCCACCAGTATCAAGAAAGACAATTGTCTCAACTTAGAAATTATGTATGAACAAGGTACCCCTTTGCATTCCAATTCCAAATCTAATTTGTTTCTAGTATTCTGTTTACTTCTTTTTAAACAGTTAGGGTCAGCTGGTCTGTCCCCCATCATCATTTCATCACCTATTTTCATCACCTATTTCCTATAAGCCAGGCATCATCCCGAAAATTGTACATGTGTTGATGAGAATTACTGCGATCCTTATTTTAACAGATGTGGAGACTGGGACACAGAGACTGAGTAATTCACACACGAGCAGTCATGCTGGAACTGAGACATAAGGAATGTAGTCACAAAGCCAGACTCCTTAGCACTAGGCTCTCAGCGGAACCCTCCTGCTATCCTGCTTGAGTATGTTGCCATTTCCAAAGCATTTTTTTGGTGAATCTTTTTATTTGATTCTTACAACCACACATTAGATTTTATTTAACCTGGAAACCTCCATTTTATTTCTTCCAAGTCTTAGAAAAATATGTAGTATTTTTTATTTTCTTGAATTATTAAGGATTTGGCTAATTTTTTTTCCAGATGAAAATTCTGAATTGAACCTAAAGTAACATGATGGACTTCTCCACCTAAAAATGTTAAAATTATATTCAATTGTAAATCATCCTCAAATAACTCTCTATGGCCTTTTTCTCCTATTATAAAGCAAAGTCCTACATTTTTCAGGGGGATGCTCTGAACTCCAGTAGAAATAGGGAGTGTATTTAAATGTTGTAAGTTATAACTGACTGCACTGCAAAATCAAATAGTTTAGGTTTGACATATTTATAGTTATATGAGTAACGTTTGTACTTATGTGTCTACATTTATATATACCAGGCCAAATTCCAGAAAGGATTTTCAGAAGTTTGGAACATGTACAGCTGGGAATTTATGTATACCCCTGCTCTTTCTTCATGGGAAAAATAAGTAGTTTATTCTACTTTTCTAATATCTCTACTTATATACACAAAGTTTTAAGAAAAGACATATGTGATAATGTAGCCTAATGAAAACAAATGCTAAATTTGTTATTGAATTACTGTTTCTTTAAATGCGCACTCATTCTGAATTCTTAAATACATTGTTCCCGATTTCTGAGACACTGTCACTAGGGAAACACCAGTGTTTTGCAGAGAACAACTGGACGGAATTACGTAGGAATACAAATACTAGAGATACCACTACTTGAATGTCTACATTGTCCCTGGAATGAAATCCTTCACATCTGGTATCTTACAGATGACCTTTAGGACATTACAGGGTGGCAATGGAACAAGAGACCAGGACCTCCAGATCATGCAGAAACAGGGGAAGCACTTGGGAGGATTAAACACCCAAGGTCACTGAAGAACCAGATCCCATGCCTGTTTAGAACAACCTCCCCTGTGCCAGACCTGACATCCTTGTCGTGAGAAATGTTCCCTCCCCCTGACAGTCAAACAAATATTCCTGCTGAACAATGAACCCACCCCCCTCCACCAAAAAAAAAAAAGAAAAGAAAAGAAAAACAGGGAAACTTGGGCTTGGTTTCAGCTTTGTGGCCAACAAATACCTGCATAAACAAGCTCTGGGTCACCAGTTGAAAGTTAGTACTCATCAAGGTCATAATACATCTCAGTGCGTAACCTAACCAAATACCTTAGGCCCAGAACGCTTTTCTGAAAAGAGGCAGTTGCATTTTACCTTTGCATATTGAGACCAAAGAAAATACATCTGGTATTTTAAATCATTGGGTAGTTCTCTGGAATGCTGATAGATCACCAAAGTTATGGATAGTAGTGATGTTTTTCTTAGGATGTCAGGAAGACCCCGTGAAGCAAGGTCCTGTAGGCTTTAAGATCAACCGAAGGAAAAGAAGGATACAGGAGAGAGATCTGATGTGTCCACACACAAACCCAACTTCCATTTTGGCTGACAGTCCTTTTAATTCTTTGGATTGAAAGCCCAAAATACGAGTTTTGAAATGGAAGGCCCACTTTATCTTTGGTATTGAAAGGGAGAAAGGAATAAAATATATAACTCACAATGTGGGCCGGAGACTTTACATGTTATTTCAGTTTATCCAACAATGACCATGAATAAAGATTTTTATATTCCTATAATTTAGAGGAGGATGAGGCTCAAAGAATTTAAATACTTCACTGCAAATAACCCTGACTGTATAATGTGGACCCAGCTCTATGTGAATCTTTGCTGCCTTGGGATAAAATGGGATTTGCCTGGGAGGATTTATGGGAAGAGATGGAAGTTTTAACACAGTCCCCCAAAGCACGCACGAACGTGCCTGCCTAAAGCTGAGGACGCAGTAAGACCCTTGCCAGGTATGTTCCCTTCCTAAACAAGCATGCAGAGGCTGTTTGGGGAGGATGAACCTCTGTGCATGAGCATCAGTACCTGTCAAGCTGAAGGGAAGGAAGGAACATGACTCACTCCTAAACGTGGTGGCCTGACTGCGGGCGGTTTCCCTACCTGTTGGTGGGGCCGTTCTCCGTCCTGCCTGCCGCCCACGGAGCAGCACAGAACTCTGGGGGTGGGCAACACGCCCCTCTGCTTTGGACACGATTTGACTCGAGGGCCTTCCAGAGGGATGATTTGCCTACTGTTTTTCTTTTTTTCTGGTGGCTCAGCTTGCAGGGTCTTAGTTCCCCAAGAAGGGACTGAACCTGAAAGCTCTGAGTCCTAACCACTGAATCACCAGGGACCTATCTACTCTTTTCTTAGAGCATTTCTAGATAACGCATTTTCATAACCGCCCAGGAATCCACGGCTGGCTCACAGCTGTCAGGAAGGGGCCTTCTTTCACTCACACGGGGAGGAGCGCAAGGCAATGAAACGTCCTCAGATGGTAGCACATCCTTTCCTGACCGACGGGCACACCTGCTCCTGAAGTGTGTTTGTGCGGGTCAGTGTGCAAAATGAACTCAGCTCCTTCAGAGGCCTTTTGTGATGGACGGATATCACGCTTCCCCTAAGTCCTAAGTGCCCCCCAGCAGGGAAACCTCAGACCAGAGACTGTGTAACGCTGTTCTCTGGGGGCCCCAGCTGTGTGTTTAGGCTTTCAGCCAGTATATGGGTTCACTGGGGTGGAGCAGAAAGAAGCTGCAATTCTCTGGTGATTCTTTTCCAGAATTAGCTGCCCCATATGCCAAGCCCCGTGAAGTTCATCACAAACAGCTGATTTTCAGCAAGATGGTCCCCGACCACCAGTGAGGAGGCTATTTCAAAACTCATTTAGCATATCTACATCCAAAGAATGAAGTTGGACTCTTCCCTCACACCGTGTGGAAAAACTGTAACTCAAAGTGGATTACAGACCTAAATGGAAAAGCTAAAACTCTAAAAGTCTTAGAAGAAACTAGAGAACATTTTAATCACCTGGGGGTATGCAAAGCTTTTTTTTTTTTTTTGATAAAACACCAAAAGCCCAAGCAACAGATCAAAAATAAATTAACTTCATCAAAATGATTTATCTCAGACTGATTCAGTACATTGAATACAAGGGACCCAAAAATGCAAGCTGGGACTACTGCTTTGCTGGTTATCAATACCAAATAGAAAAATGTTGAGTGACTAATTGTGTTCCCTTTAGAAACTGACCAATTCTTTCTACCCTGTTTTTTAAGTACAGTTGTGCATCACAGTACTCGTTTATGTGATTTAAAGAATAAAAATGACACATTTTCCAATATCTAACTCAAAAGTCAGACAGCAGTTAGAACTCACCATAGAGACTGTCACTTAAATTTAGTTTTATGAAGGGAAAAGACTAAATACTTTAAAACATTCAGATATTGTTAATATAATTGAAAGTCTGCTACTATCAAGTTTTAAGTAAATAGAAGAAAACTTTATGAACTGAGGGGAAAAAGACAGCCGCTTGGAAGTTTATGAGCACTGCATTTGTAAGAGAAAAAAGTGTTCGAAGACTGGTTTGGTGTTTTCAATGCTTTGAATGAACACACTCTGGAGTGGCCCATCAAAGAAGGGTATTATCAGGGCTGTAATATGTCCATTGCCTGTCTAGTTGCTTGGAGACCTCCTCCGAGCTTCTGAAAGCAGACTCCTAATGTAAAACCATGCAGTGCTCAGTGAGTACCTAGAAGCATTCCCTTTGTCTCCTTTGCTCTTTCATCTCTGGCATGTAATGATGAGTAAACAAAGAATGTGCATTTTCTCTGCAATAACAGAGTCATTTTTATCAGTGTTAACATGTACAATCAAGGGGGCCCTGCGTACATGCATACTTCACCACATACAGGGGCCCCTTTGCACCCAGAATTGACCTCTTCCACTGTGAGGTGGCTATCCGAGCCTCAAAGCAGAGAGAAGCTCACTTGATAAGGTAAAGCCACTGCTGGTGGAAAAGAAGCCTCCTCCCTAGTTTGTCCAGGGTCTTCTACATTGTACTACAACTGACTGCATGGCTTTTGAACTGGGGCAAGGAGGAATGGAAGAAGGAAAATTTAGACAATCAAAAACTCAGATCCTAGCACTGATGCTGCTGCTAAGTCGTGTCAGTCGTGTCCGACTCTGCGACCCCATAGACGGCAGCCCAGCAGGCTCCCGTCCCCAGGATTCTCCAGGCAAGAACACTGGAGTGGGTTGCCATTTCCTTCTCCAATGCATGAAAGTGAAAAGTGAAAGTGAAGTTGCTCAGTGGTGTCTGACTCTTAGCGACCCCATGGACTGTAGCCTACCAGCCTCCTCCGTCCATGGGATTTCCTAGGCAAGAGTACTGGAGTGGGGTGCCATTGCCTTCTCCGGATCCCAGCACTCCTATACATAAAATCGGTAAACAGCAAGGACCTGCTGTATATCACAGGGAACTATAGTCAATATCTTGCTATAACCTATAATGAAAAGGAACCTGGAAAATGACATATATCTGCAACATCTTGCACCTGAAACACTGTAAACTATACGTCAATAATTTTTTTTAATTTTTAAAAAATTAAAAAGACAAACAACAAATTAAAAAAATAAACCCCTCAACAAATCTCAGATCACTGAAAATAACCAAACACCCCTCAACAAATCTCAGATCACTGAAAATAACCAAACAATCCACTTTTATATTTTTGCCAATACTTTACTCTCCCAGTCTTCCCAAAAGATATTATTATAATCTTTGCTCAGTCGTGTCCAGCTCTTTGCAATCCCAGGGACTGTAGCCCGCCAGGCTCCTCTGTCTATGGGATTTTCCAGGCAAGAATACTGGATTAGGTTGTCATGCCTTCCTCCAGGGGATCGTCCCGACCCAGGGATCTTGACCAGTGTCTCTTGTGGCTCCTGCAAAGCAGGCAGATTCTTTACCATCAGCCACTAGGGAAGCCCCACCCAAAAGAAACAATGGTGGCGAAAGTGGCAAATTTGAAATTAATGACTTTTTTTTTTTCAACTGGTAGACATCTGGCAAGAAATGTATTACCAAAAGGCAGAGCCAGAGACGTGATTTGTCTGATTCAGAGAAAAATGAAAATGCAGGGTCCTTGTTCATAAATGAGTAAGACTTTTAAAATGGTGACAGAAAGGCTCTGGGGCAGGCACGGAGTCCCGCAGAGCACAGGCCAGGATCACTGCCTGGCTGCTGCCCGCGAAGCCAGTCTTGCCAAAAGATAAGCAGGAAGGGAGGCGGGGGTCTGCCTAGCCCATCGCTGGATCTGTGGTCTGAGAGCTGGTTTGACTTCTCTTGGCTGAACTCACAGCTTAACAGTGGCCTGTGTTACTTTCACATTTATAGAAACCAATGCCCTAGAAACTCCGTGACTTGTCTAAGGTCATGAGTTGAAAGAGCCAGAATGCAGTCCCAGGTACCCGACTCCCACACCAGCATTCTCTCCCCGACGTCACGCTCTCGTCTCTAGTTTCAAGGTAAATCATCAGGAAATAGTAACTACATAAAAGGAGGGGTAGGGAAGGACGTTACCTCATCAGAACTTTCTTTTCAGCTCTCCTGTGCAAAGAACAGAGTAAAAATAAACGTCAAATTCTTTTTCTGAGTCAACGCTTCCAAGTCTTAGTGTAAAGACATCATAAGACTTCCAAACGCTGAAGCAATTAGCTCTGCTGAGAACTGACTTGAGCCCTTGGAGTTAGCAATTGGAGACCAAGGTGGTTATTAGTGGATGGTTATGAGGCAACACGTTAGGAAACTAATCAGTGTTCCTACACAAATATTTAAAATAATTCCGAGATAATCTGAACTTTAACACAGAGCTTGCCAGACGCATTTGTAATCTGAACCCAAGGTTCTAATAAGTTACTGCCTTTTGGCTGTCCTTCAATGTCAGGGACATTTTTAGAAAGATTAACACTTGAGTGGAGACGAAGATTGACATTTTCAATGTAAACACGAGACCTGGACTTTTTTACACAAAGAGAATGCAGGTATCTTTCTCACTCAGGTGTATGTATAAGTTTAGTATATCAAAATATCTCATGCAAGGACACAGTCATTGAAAGATACTGCACGGATCAAATATTTGATTCAACTTTATAAGCTTATTTAAAAAAAAGAGTTCAAGGTAGGCTGCAGTGAAAGAAAACCCTTCAGAGTGGCAAAGAACAGCTGCCATGCCCCTTTCAACACAGCACAAGTTTTAGGATCAGAAAGATTTTCAGTTCAAATCTGAGCTTCATCTGTATTTTAATTGTTTGAGCCTTGGCTAATTTATTTGCAAAATAGGGTTGATACATGCAACCAAACAGCTGCATCAGATGCTTTCTAGACAGCTCAGAGATTCTGACATCTATGATTCGTACACCTGTAATTATATCTTATTGAGTTGCCTCTCAGAATTTTCACTGAGGGGTTAAAATTAGTTTTGCATGCCTGCTTTCCATAACTTTATGGTCTGTAGGTAGCAACAAGGAAAAACAAAATATTTTCTGGCTTGGATAAATTTTGGCATAATTATAGGTCTGGAGTTTGGAAAATGAGGGCCAGAGGAAAATGGTGCAGAGGCCTGCGTAACCCAAAGTGTCTGAGGCTACCGCACTTACATCTCATTAACTGCCAATTACCCTATTCATAATTCAACACAAAAAGAAAAACACAAATGGGTTTTAAAAAAAATCCCTTTTATCTAGACTTCAGTTTATACTTGGCTTCCAAAGGCAGGATTAATGCAATAGGTTGAGGAAGGGGGTAGTTAGATTGAGCAATAAAAATACTTTTTTTGATAACATATGAGGCTATAAAAATGACTTGCCTAAATCTATTAGCCAAAGATAAATAATACCCTGCAGGAGGAAAAGAAACAGCTTTTTCTGGATCATAAGGCCTGGTATGTTTTTCAAGACCTTGCATTCACTGGAAATGTAGCATATCCATTTAAAGAGTTTTTTTTTTTTTTAAGATTTCTCTTTTGATGTGGACCATTTTTAAAGTCCTTATTGAATTTGTTACAATATTGTTTCTGTTTTAAGGTTTGGTTTTCTGGCAGGTGGATCTTAGCCTGCCAATCAGGGATCGAACCCATGTCTCCTCCTGCATTGCAAGATGGCTTCTTAGCCATTGGACCACCAGACATATTTTTTAAGTTAGTGATTTCATTACATTTCTTGCATTGGAAATCTTGTCTCTGTTCTGGTAAGACCATGTTCAAGACTTTTGTCAAGACCTGGGAAGACAAATGGTTCTCATTTATTTTTGTTACTCTATTACTAATGTTAATATTTTCACAATTGCTATTTTTCTACTTGTTACCACCACCACTAGTAATGCTATTACTACTACCACACCCACACCTGCATTTCCAAATGGCCTATAGTAACTCTAATGATTGATAGTAACTCTAATGACTAACATTTGATCGTTCAGCCCCTTGAGTCCCTGATGGGCTTGACCTTATGCATTCCAGGGCCAGCAGCTTTGATATCACTCGGCAGCTCTTTACAAGTGCATCTTCCTGGGCCCTGACGCAGACCTATGGCATCCGAAGCACTGAGGTTGGGGGCCAGGAATTTGTATCTTCTAACGCTCCAAGTTGTGAAGCTTAGCTCAGCAGAGAAAGCGCCCCAGGTGCCAGAGAGCAGGCAGGAGGGGTGGGAGAGAACAGAGGCGAAACACCTGGAGCCGCCGCCTGCAGGTGTGACCTTGTCTGAGTCAGGCAGGCTGCCAACAGCCAGGAGAAAGCGAAGAAAGCCAAGGGCAGGCTTGCAGGATGTGGTCACCCAGCCTCTGGCCTTTGGCTCCAGGCCTGTGTGAGAAGAGGCCCCCCCAGAACTGTCCCCAGATGCCGCGGGTCTCTTCCCACAGGAATCTGAAAATGACAAGACTCCTGATTTTTCATGAATGCAGGCTCATCTGATCAAATTAGCTACAGTTTCTAATGAGTATTTCTTAAGGTGTGAGGTCTATATATTTCAGGGTCTCCTTGATCCCTGCTCCCACCAAATCAAGACCTCTGAGGGTTGCAACAAGCTCTCAAATGACAGCTCTTCAGTGTCAAGATTGAGACACGTTCTACTTTTTTGGCCTGACCTGACACTTAGCTTGGGATAAAGTTTCAAGATTTATTTGCTAACCTTTGGTCTGCTCTTCCTTCCTTGCTTTCTGTAATAACATGTTCCTTCAAAGATATCAGTAAAAATACATGCAAAAAAAGAAAAGAAAAATTAACTGTATTCCTATCACCCGTTTTGATAAATAAAATGATATAAAATAATATTAAACAAAATTAGGACATAAATAACATCATAGTTCATAAAAAGGTATTACAATATATGTAACTAATCACCTATTTTTTTAAAAAACAACTTAATATTTTGCAGTATAGCCAATTCACATTATTGTGAGAGTTCCAGGTGGACAGCAAAGAGACTCAGCCATACATATTCACGGGTCCATTCTCCCCCAGACTCCCCTCCCATCCAGGCTGCCACATGACATTTTGAGCAGAGTTCTCTGTGCCACAGTAGGTCTTTGCTGGTTGTCCATTTTACATATAGCAGTGTGTACATGTTGATCTTCTAGAAGTTGTTATCCAGATTTCCCCCTCTACAAATAACAATACAACAAGCAACTTTGTAAAACAAAACAAAACAAAATCCTTGCATTGATTCCTAATGGCCAGTTATTAGAATTGAAATTTCTGGTTCAAAGCTTATGTTTTCTCCTGAAGTATCTGATATACATCGCCAGATTGTTCCCAGAATGAGAAGACCAGTGAACCTTAGAGGACCTCGCTGGTGGTCCAGGGGTTAAGACTCCAAACACCCAATGCAAGGGGCCCATGTTTGATTCCTGGTCAGGGAACTAGATCACAAATGCCACAACTAAGACCCTGCATAACCAAATCAATAGTTTTTTTTTAATGCAAAACCAAGAACCACATTAAGTTGTACATTGGTATCACTGTAATGGAGAAAATTTAGGAATATAGGAATAGAAAACTGACTGTGTGCATGCTTCTGCATCTAGGAATTCCATGTCATGGTGTACAACCTAAAGTGACTCTTGCTTAAGGGAATATTCATAATAGCAAAAAGTTGAAAATAATCTGAGAATACATCAATATAGGAATAAACAGAGAAAAAGAGCAGGTAAAACATATGAACTAGGTTACATCAACAGAGATCTCTATCAAAAACAAAATGGCTTATAATATTGAATGAAAAAAGTCTTTGTTAAAGCATACATACAGAATGAAATTATTTTTGTAAAATAAGAAAGAACTATAAAGACATACTGTTGTGTTTACACACACAGGGGAATTACAAAACCTCCTGCAGAAAGGGTACAGTAACTTCAACATGGTGGGGGAAGAGAGGAGGGATTTTATTTAGGTCTACAATGTTTTGTTTTCTTAATAAACAGGTTTGAAGAAAACAAGGTAAATATCAGCATTTGCCCAATCTGGGGCACAGTTCTCAAAGTGAGTCTGAGGACCTCTGGGGGCCCCAAGTCTACCACAGGATGTCTCTGAGGTCAAAATAATTTTCATGTTAATACTAAGACCTGATTTGTCTTTCCCCCTGTGTTGACATCTGCACTGGTGGTTCACCGTCAGAGTTGGGTAAAACTGTGGTGTCAGCGCAAACCAAGGTGTTGGTGCCAACTAGGTGAGCAGGGGGCTGCATTCATCACCCCAGGCACTTGCAGAAACACCAGACAAAATGAGACAAGCCAGGTTCACTCAAACAGCTCCTTGCTGAAGCAGTAACATTTATTTTCATTAAATCCCAACTTATGAATGCTTTTTAAATAACACGCTGAGTAACTGAAGAGCAAGTATGCCCACAGCACTTCTGCTCTATGTTTGATTGTTGTCTTCAGGGAAAAGTACTTGTGTGATCATCTGAATTGTGAACCAAACTACCTGCTTTTCTCCACAGAACATCATTTTTCTTGAAAGAAGGCGTGAGAGCTCAGTTACGGTTATTCAGACTTTGGTGAACCGCCTGTCACTTCCAAGAAAACAACCGGTAATACTCATTGCCCATGACAAAACGAGGGCTTGCAAATGAAAATTAGAATTTTGGAAAACTCATATCTACCACCGTGGGCTTGGCAGACGTCTAACCGTTAACGACTTTTCTGAGATCAGTGGAGGTGTGATACGATGAGTGCTCAGCCACTAGGCCGTGTCTGACTCTTTGCGGCCCCATGGACTGCAGCCTGCCAGAATCCTCTGTCCTTGGAATGTTCTAGGCAAGAACATTGGAATGGGTTGCCACTCCCCACTCCGGGGGATCTCCCTGACCCAGGGATCGAACACATGTCTCCTGTGTCTGGTGCATCGGCAGGTGGATTCTTAAATGTTTTATAATGTAACATGTCTGCACCAGGAAAGCCTACACTATTCAGTGAACCAATATTCTCCAAATGCTCAGTTCAGCTCAGCTCAGTCGCTCAGTCGTGTCCAGCTCTTTGCGACCCCATGGACTGCAGCACCCCAAGCTTCAGTCAGGGCATGACGTTAAAAAATCATGCATGAGTGGAAGATCCACTCAAAAGTGCAGGGCAAATGAATGGATTTTAATGTCACAGAGTCTGAAAAGTTCAGTGACATGGTTTCAGATTACACATTGCAACTACCATTTGTTGAATGTTGGTGTAATAACCAATAGAATTTTCAGTTACCAGGCTATTAAAATGCTTCCATCTTCTAACTACATAACTGCTTGAGGATTGATTTTCTTCATATACTTCAACAATAAAAAATACCACAACAGAATGAATTCAAAAGCAGATATGAGGATCTAGTTGACTTCTTTCAAGCCAGTTATTAAAAAGATCTGCCAAAATGTAAAACAGTGTCACTCTTCTCAATACTGCTTTCTTTCTTTTTTTTTTTGACTTTGAAAATTGTAGTTACTGTCAAGAAATGTTTTTTTTAATGTTACCACAAAAAGATTTTATTATTGCTATATTAAATGTATTAAATGTTTAAAATTTTGTTTTAATTTCTAAATGTGGTAAACATAAACATTAACAAACAAAAGTTCTTTGTGGTTCTCAATAATTTTTACAAATGAGATCAAATAACTTGAGAACTGCAGATCTAGGGAGGGGGTGAGTACACAGATAGTCTTCCACTCTTCTATTACTTTCTACACTTTTCTCTGTATATGTAACGAAAGATAAGAGTAAAAAAACAAACAAACAAAACTTACCAGCAGCACAGGAGGATATGCAGAAACCTGCTTCCCAGGTGGTGCTACTGGTAAAGAACTTGCCTGCTAATGCAGGAGACATAAGAGACAGGGGTTTGATCCCTGGGTTGGGAAGATCCCCTGGAGGAGGGCATGGCAACCCACTCCAGTCTTCTTGCCTGGAGAATCCCATGGACAGAGGAGCCTGGTGGGCTACAGTCCATAGAGTCGCAAAGAGTTGGACATGACTGAATCGACTTAACACGCATATTGTTACCACACTTAAGAATTACTGCTTAAGAGAAACAAACCAAGCCAGTGTATCTGAGACTAAGAAAATATGCCATAATTTTAATTTGCCTTTCTTTCATTATGTCAGTTTGAACAATTTTATACTATTTTACTGTTGATTTTGTGGGTTGTCCTCTTTCTATTCATGCACCACGTGTTTGTCGAACATCGTGCACACACCATACTTGCTTCTAGATGTATCTAGAAGCTTCTAGGTGTATCTAGAATACAGCAGTAAACAAGTTGCAAAAGGTCTGCTGCAGGAGTTGGTACACTCCTGTTCTGTGAGCCAACTTTATCCCACTTCCCATTATTGCAGATTAAGTTCTTTCGGAACACAGTCATTCCTATCTGTTTACAGGTTGTCTGTGACTGCTTCTGTGCCACAAGGAGAGACTGAGTGGTTGCAAAAGAGACTATGGCACCTGCAGAGCCAAAAAACCACTGTCCGTCTCTTACGGGAAAGGTTTGCTGGCCTTGATCTTGTGGCTTCCCTAGGAATGCTAGTCTCTTTCCTTCTTCCTTGCTTTCCTATTTGTAAGATACTTTTGTATACTAAAGAAATCTTGTCTTGCAGATGTTTTCCCATCACACTGATAACCGTTTAATATTATTTGTGGGTTTTTTTCCATTGCAAACATGTTTATATTGTATGTAAAACCTTGATCAGATTTTCTCTTTTAACATAATTGTTCTTAAACATTGGGGACACTGATTTTTAAATGACTTACTCGTTACTTTTGTTTTTATTTTATTCAACATAAATTTAAAAATCATTTTATCATATAGCTGAAAAAGCCTTCAGTGATTCTGACTGCAGTTGCATTACATTGTTGTGTTACTTTGGGGAGAATTTAATTTTTAAATATTGATTATTTTTGTCAGGGAATATAGAATGTTTCCTGGTTAAGTCTCATCTTCTTCCAAATTATTTTACAACTTTTCAATATATCCTAATAAATTCCTTTTTATATTTATTTCTAGTAATTTTCTGTTTTAGGGTTGCTACAGTGATTTCTTCCTTACTTTTATGTTGATTAAGGCAAATAAGTACTCTGTATTTTTCTGTATATTTTCTAAATAGTTCCCATAATGAATTTTTTATAGTTCCA